TCAAAGTTTCCCTTAAAGGTATGCCGGCAAATAAAACCCCGGGTTTGGATGGTCTAACTGCGGAATTCTTTAGGGTTACATGGGATCTTCTTGCTGCAGAAATCTCGGCTTCTATCTCAAAATTCTTTGCAGATCCTTTCATGCCTGCTTGTTTGAACAGCACCTCTCTTGTTTTAATCCCAAAACGTCCAGGAGCGGAAGAACTGAAAGATTTTAGGCCCATCGTCTGTCTGAACACCTTATACAAGGTTATCACCGTATCCTTGCAGGGAAATTAAAGTCTGTTCTCCCGGATATCATTCTCCCAAATCAAACGGCGTTTGTGCAGGGAAGATTGCTCCTTGAAAACGTTCTGCTTGCTTCTGAGGTTATTAGAGGGTATCATCTGTCTGAAAACTCTCCCCGCATCACTCTAAAAGTGGATATCTCAAAGGCCTTCGATTCCGTGAGATGGGATTTTATTCTCAGTTCCCTCCAGGCTTACCATGTTACTCCAACGCTTTTCAACTGCATCAAGGCGTGTATTTGCTCGCCGAGTTTTTCTATTAGTATAAATGGGACTACTTCTGGGTACTTCAAAGGCAAATACGGGCTTCGACAAGGTGACCCTTTATCTCCGGCTCTCTTTGTCATGTCGATGAACATCCTCTATCTGGGTAGCTTGGATAAGGGCTAAATATCTTTCTCATTCACCTTTCTGGGCGTTGAATGAGAAGAACTACAGTTATTCCTGGATGTTTCGAAAAATCCTGAAATTAAGAAGGGAAGCATCCTCATTCACAAGGATTTCTATTGGTAATGGGGATGATACTTTCTTCTGGTGGGATCCTTGGACCCCCTTTGGCTCTTTGATTCACTTTCTAGGGGATTCGGGCCCCTCTCGTCTTGGCATTCCCCTGTTCTCAACGGTCGGGGAGTTAGTATCATCCCAGGGATGGAATTTGCCGCATGCTCGCTCTGAGAAAGAGGTTCAGCTCTTCACATTCATCTCCACCATTGTTCCTACTGCTGCTAGCGATACAACAGTCTGGAGTATTGATGGGGTTCCCCAGAATGGTTTCTCTTCAAAGAGTATCTGGAATAAAATTCGGGAATCTAAGCAAGAAGTTCATTGGTATAAGATTGTTTGGCCCCGGGTAAAAATTCCCAAACACGCCTTCTGCTCTTGGCTTTTTGTTCTCAATCGGAACCCTACTCTTGATCGTTTATCGTCCTGGGGTTGCGACGTGGAACAAGTTTGCCTGTTGTGTGGATCTCTTGATAAGTCTTGGGACCACCTTTTCTTTGAATGTTCTTTCTCTGCGTTTGTGTGGAAATCTGTGGTCGCAAAGCTCCAGGTTGCTCCTCCCCTTCTCGTGTGGACCCCTACAATTCAGTGGCTTCTCCTTCCTTCGAGAAACAAGGCGATGTCTGCTGCTTTAATCCAGGTGTGGCAAGGAAGCTTATACGAGATATGGGCTGAGAGGAATCGTCGTTTCCATGATGGTGTGTCTTGGCCCCCTGATAAAATTGTTCGATTAGTTCTAAATGCGGTGAAAAACAAGGCTCTCAGCCTACACTTGGACTCCCCTTTAAGGTTTCCTCTGCTCTCTTTCTGGTCTCACTCCTATATTCCTTCTTGAAGTCTGTTCTGGTTGGTGGCTCTTGCATATGGTCTCTTCCTTCTCTCCCCTTTTCTTTCTCTTTCTTCTACTTTTGTTTAAAGATGAGTGGTTTCATCTTGTTCCCTTGTAAAACTTTATTTCATTATTAAAGAAAGCCCTTTAACAAAAAAAAGATCTAACCTAAAAAAATATTTGTCGTCAAAAAAAGAAGGTGGTTGAAATAAGTATTATAAAAACTTAAGAGCTTGAAAAACTACAAATAACTAACGCATAACTATTATTATGTGGTATTTTGCTCGCTGTCTTTTGATTGTATGATCCGGAATCTTTTGATGTCTTTTCCTCTGTTCTATTATATAAAGAGCAACTCAGATGAAAAAAAAACCTAACGCATAACTAAATTGTCCGTATAAACACTATCTTTCGTTTAAATTGTTCATATAAAAAACATTTATAGTCTTATAGCTACTTGAAGCGGTCTTTAGTATCAATACAAAAAAAACAATTCACATGCAAAAAAATGTTGGAGTTCATACCAAAAAAAAAACGTAGGATAGAGGAATAGCTTTTTTTTTTTAATTAAAGTCTCCTATCCAAATTATAGTTTGAGATATTTACACCCAAAGGCACTTTTTACAACTTATATTACGGCCAAAGGCACTTTTTGCTATTTGGTGACTTTTATGAGTTTTCAAGATTTTTTTGGACATTTTTGCCCCTCAGTAAAACGAGCTCGATAATTATTTACCGAGTGTCTCCTCTTCTCTAGTTTCGTCGGAAGAATCTTTAAACACCGTTAAACATTTTTCCGACGTAGCCGGACCCCTGGCCATATTCTTCTCTGACCGTTCGGATCTGCCTCATCAAATTCTTCTCCAATTTTTATCTGATGCTCTCTTATATCTCTTAAAGAGAGCTCTTTTATTCCGGTTAAACGGAAACTTCGCAAACTGCTGGCTCGGAAAGGCAGATCCCGCTTAATCCCGAACACCTCCAATTTTTTTGCAAACTTCCCAAACTTCTTGGTCGGGAACAAGGTTCTGGCCTGATTTCGCGAAATCCAGATTTGGTGAACAACATCCCTGCCGTATCTATATCCATAACACGTTCTTGCCTGATTTCGAGAAGTCCAGCTTTGGTGAACGACATCCCTACCGTATCTATATCCATAACTCGTTCTCTTCATCCACATAACCCTGTACACTAAAATCACGTCTAATATCCTTTAGAATACATATTATTTTCCAAATATAATTTGTGTGATGTACAGCACCCGTCGTTTTCAATATTCGACATAATGGATAAGATAAAATGGACGCCAATTGGTGGATACCGCTTAAATACGGATAATCCCTGAAATGCACAGCACACGTCGCCTACCTTACTCGACGTAATGTATAACGTAACGTGGACGAGCGTAGTTGGATGCCTTTACACGTGAATAAGATAAAGCAGACGACCATCACGTGGACGACCGTTCTCTATCTAAAGAACGAGTGCTTGACAAGTGGATACCCCCTAGTGGATATCAAAGTTTGTGAGATTTACATTTCTATATGCAAATGTAATTTGTGAGATGTACAGCACTCGTCGTTTTTCAATATTCAAGGTAATGGATACGTGAAAGTGAACGACCACCGGTGGATATCCTTTACACGCGGACCAGACAAAGTTGTCCATATCTGGACGACCAAATATGTCATTCCTGGAGTGCACAAGACACGTCGCCTACCATACTCGACATAATGGACAAAGTAACGTGGACGACCCCGTGGTGGATATCAGAGTTTGTGAGATTTACATTATTTTAAGCAAATATAATTTGTGAGATGTACAGCACCCGTCGTTTTCAATATTCGACATAATGGATAAGATAAAATGGACGCCAATTGGTGGATACCGTTTAAATACGGATAATCCCTGAAATGCACAGCACACGTCGCCTACCTTACTCGACATAATGTATAACGTAACGTGGACGAGCGTAGGTGGATGTCTTTACACGTGAATAAGATAAAGCCTTTCGACATTTGTTGGTTGATCGTCAGGATCGTAGTCATCTGGAAACTCTCCACAAGGCAATCCACTGACGTGCCCAAACTCCTTTAACCCAAATCTTAAGGGGTGTCCACCAAAAACTGTCCACATCTCATACTTCTTCTTGGTGACCAACTGTCTGGACATCAACACGTGGATCAGTTTACACGATATTTGACATCGAGCAGCGGGGAAAGTGAATAACTTCCCAAAACAGGAGTTGATGGTGATGTCTAACTTTTTAGTGCCTCTTAACTTCTCACTAAGGAAGGTAAGCGTGTCGGGCTTCGAATACACATTTATCCGGTTGATTGGGAACCGATCTGTAGCAAATAAACGAGAGAGCAATCGCGAATCGGCCTCATCCAAAATGTCTCCATCTGATCCACACCGAAATTGGAACATAAGATTCACTTCAAAAGTAATTACAAATATTTGTAAAAATCAATCATTTGTTCACACACGACCAAATTATCCAAGTCATACATGGGAATTTTTACCTGACATCGCCTGGACGAATCAAACTATTTCGCTCAAAAGCCCAAAAACAGTCGACTATCTCTCTCCGGCGGCCGCTTAGGGTTCTTCGTCGTCTGTTTTTTTTTTACTCTCGGTTGTGTGGTAAACGAGTTAACGAAAATTTACTAGAGAATATAATTGTCATTCTATCATACAAAAATCACTCAATAGTTACAAGTGCCTTTTTTGAAACTTAAACTCAGGAAAGTGCATTTACCTGTAAATCACTCTTATAGTTTCTAAGTTTTATAAGCATACATTGCACGTCAAGTCTAATTTCCAAGTTATTAATTGAACTAAAATATTACGCAGACGTCAGATTATTCAAAACATTGCTCCACTAATTTTTGTCGTTTATATCAAGTTTAAAATAGTCACATATCTGGAATCTAAAACTATATTTTAAAGCATATTCTAAAAAGTTGCATTTAAGGATATTAATACGTACTTAATAAAAAAATCGTCGTCATATTACAGTCAACATAACCAGGTATTACACCCAAAGAAGAGTAATAAAGCAAATGTTCAAAATTGTAAAAAAAAAAAAAAATCTAGAAAACCCTATTTCCACTGCCAAGTGCCAACTATATACATATACATATATTTGTAAGTTGAACATCCAATTTAGTATAAGCTCATCATACTTTATAACATTAATTGGGCTGGGCTTGGCTTGCTGAGGGCGATAATTTTAATATTGACGTTAATAATCAGCCCAATTTTACATATTTGGGTCATTCAAACTAATTAAAAAAGACTAAAATACAGAAAAAAATAAACGGAGTCGTTTCACATGGTTGAGTTGAAATGTGAGAACAAATTAGTAATAATTTCCAAAAAGTTTATCGAAGAAACGTTCAAGTTGTGACAGAGAATCTCGGTCGTCTTTCTTGTCTCCGACGAGGCTCTTCTTCTTCTTCCGATTAGATCCCGTCGGAGAATTCAGAGACTCTAGGGTTCGATTTTTAAGTGTTTTGGATAGTGCAAGAAAGTAATCGATGATGTTACAGTCGCATTCAAGGTTTCTCCTTCAGACGCTGTTGACGCGTGCTCAGAAGTGAGTAAATCTCATTCTCAATCTCATATTGTAAAATGTTCAGTTCCGTTTTTTTAGTTCTTAGCTAATCTTAAATTAGACCTTTTTGGATAAAATAATAATTGTCGAAATCTGGAATTGTGAGTTTGGTCGATCAAGAAATCTGAAACATTTATAAGAACTGGGTTTTGTAAAATGACAGTAAAGTTCATTACTTTCTTAATCCTTTTCTTAGCTTGTTTGATTACTATTTTCCCAGTCTTGATAAAGCAGTGGAGCTAGATTATCAATGGATCGAATTCGATGATGTTCGTTACCATGTTCAGGTGAATTTCTTAACCAGCATTTAAAGACTTGGATTTTGTCTTAGATTCCATATGATCTTGTACAATATATCTGATGTTGTGAGTGTTAATAGGTGACAATGAAGAATCCAAACCTCTTGTTGCTTTCGGTTTCATTACCAAACCCACCACCTGAAGCAATGTCCTTTGATGGGCTTCCATTAGGAGCTATAGAAGCTATTAAAACCACTTACGGTACAGGATTTCAAATTCTTGATCCTCCAAGAGATGGTTTTAGTCTTACCCTGAAGCTCAATTTCTCTAAAGTTCGTCCTGATGAAGGTTCAACGAGTCTCTTTTATCTTCAAAATGATTTTACTTAAACTTGCTTTGTTTTATCCTCTCATGGAAAGTAATCTCATGTTTTGCAGCTTTCAGGAACTCGTTACTAACGAAGCTAGCTTCCATTAGAGAAGTGGTTATGGGTGCGCCGTTGAAAATCATCTTCAAACATCTAGCTTCGAGGACGCTTGCTCCTGAGCTAGATAGGCTCGTAGCAATTATGCATAGACCTAATGAGACATTTTTCCTCGTGCCTCAGGTATACTTCCATAATCTAAACGTTGATGTAGATTCTTATCTTATGATTAGTGTTTAGAGTGATAGAGAACTTTGATCGTTGCATCACAGGCGGATAAAGTCACCGTGGCTTTTCCTATGAGATTTAAAGACTCTGTTGACACTATTCTAGCGACTTCTTTCTTAAAGGTAAACACAATGATCAAAGTTAAAAATGTTGGAAGAGGTTTTTGATTTCTCTAGTTTACTGAAGAATAATGGATCTTGTAATATAGGAATTTGTAGAGGCGAGGCGTGCTGCTGCGCTTAACAGTGCTCCTTCTTGTTCTTGGTCTCCAACTGCACCGCAGGAATTGGAAGGAGCTCCTAAAGAAACACTATCTGCTAATGCCGGTTTTGTAACTTTTGGTATGATCTCACTAACAAGTATTCTGTTTTATTTCAATTTGCATTCGTAGCAAAGAAACTACTTACATTGGATTGTCGAATATCGTAGTCATTTTCCCTCGGCATGTTGAGGGGCAAAAGCTTGATCGTACTGTCTGGAATTTGTCAACCTTTCATGCTTATGTTAGTTACCACGTCAAGGTTAATCTTTCTTTCATATTCACTAAATACTAAAACTTAATTTCTCTCTTTCCCTGCAAGTATGAACTTGTGAAGAACTGAGTTTTGTTATGTTATAGTGCACAGAGGGATTTATGCACACCAGGATGCGGCGTCGTGTGGAATCTATGATTCAGGTTAAATACATAATCCGATTTGTCTTCTGTCCATTTTCTTCTACAGCTTGAAGGTTTTGATCACTTTCTAGTTGACTATATGCTCTTTAGTTTCTGTGTTGCTTCCTAATTGTTAATAGTTAACATATGTGGATCTTTGTGTCTCAGGCTTTGGATCAAGCAAAGCCATTGGAGAAAACAAGATCGATGAACAACAAGTCATTTAAACGGCTAGTAAGTTTTGAAAACATATCATTAAACCAACAAGAAATTTCTGGAGAGACAACTAGTTTTTCTGTTTGTATTGTCTTTGAGATTTTTGCCTTCTTCCTTCCTCGCAGGGACTCAACGATGTCAATCACACCAATTCGAAGTAGTGATCACTCACGAAGCAATTTTGTAAAATCTTGTGAGTAGCTAAGACATGTTTTTTATTGTTTTTTGTTTTTTGGGTTCAAATTTGGATTTTAGTACAATTCTTTCAGATTTTCTATACGTGTTGTGATCATTCTAAATACTTGACCAAATGTATGATGTTAAAATTGTAAGAACTTTACCTTGAAACAAACTATAGAGGTTCTCCAGTTTGAAGCTTTTTTAATCTAAAAATGTTGTTTCAACAAAGAAAGTCAAGTTTTTTTCTTCTTTATGTTCTTATTGCAAGAACAAGAAAATGAAGAAGGTGCAGAGAATAAGAAACTTTTACTATGGAAAGTGGAAACTGGTCAAAAAGCTTCTTCGGTGGCTCAGGTAGTGACTAGTTTACAGGAACGAGGGGCAATGGAATACACGGTATTTGAAGATCGGACGATTTTCAACAGACTTGTAAAAAAAAAGAAACACTTTTTTTTATATATATATATAAAACTCACAAAAGACTACTATATTCATCCGGTTTCGAACCGGAGACGTGACCAACTACACCACCAAGTCATTTTGGATTCTATTCCGTATTTTAGCTGTATTTGCTTCTTCTTCTTTTTTTTTTCATTCAATCAAGTTCTTAGGCTTCTAGGTATGCCTTCCATCTGTTTTTCTTTTTGTTTAAATTTTCTTTTCAAAAAAGGGTTTTCAGTTTCACTGCATGAGAATGAATATTTCTTACAAATCCATTAATTAAGCAAAACCCCCATATGATCTAAACCAACATTATCAAACAACTTTTGAATAAACCAAAGAGTAAATACCACAGATGACAGTATGACACTAACTGCCGAACCAACCAACTCCCAACCATCGCTTGAAATCTTCGGAAGTTGTCGCCGTATACACCAAAATGTATAATCTACTGACACCAAAAATGGTAGGCATGCATTCACGAATAACACGTATTGGTACACGTATTACAAAGTATATATATACTACGTCAAATCAAGCCAAAAAATATATTTTTCTCTACTGAGAAATGAAAATCTATTATAAGATTCTCGTGTATAACGAGCGAGATTATTATATAGCTGGTATTATTTATTTTTTTAACCAAGCCACTGATTTGGCAAATTCTTACAAACCTATACCGACTATAAAATAGTATGCATGCATTTAAGCATAACACGTATTACATATTTCTTTGTCAAACCAAAGTACTATCTATTCCAAGATTCTCGCGTATAACGTGGAATATTATATAATAGGGATTTTTTTTTAACCAAGCCACTAATTTGGCAAAATCTTACAACCTATAAAATAGTAGAAATGCATGTTGAAAGTATCAAACAAGTATACTATAAAAAGATAAATATATTTTCTCTACTGAAGCTATAATATCCATGGCGATATCTCAAGCCCCACCTTTGCTGTTTTTTCTCCTTGTTTCACTCTTTTTCTTACCTGCTTTGGGCAGCAGCATCGACTACAAAAACTGCAAACGTAAGTATCGATTTGTTGTTGTTGTTAATTCATGTTTTTAGTTTGGTTGTGCATAAAGAAAATGACAACTAGAAACTACTTTGATTTGTGCAAGTTGAAGAAGAGTTAAACATAGTACGGTGTATGTTCGTTATACTTTTTGCTTTTTGGGTCTGCAGTTTCTTTAACGTCGGTTGATAACAAGTAATTAATATTATTAATCAGGCAATTCAAATCAGAAATTTGCTAGGACATATAGTATGTTAGAAGGAAGAAGACGAGAGAGAAAGAGTCGGTGAAAAATTCTGTTATTCATCGTTATGGTTAACGTTTACAACTGAGTCTCTTATATACAAGAAGACTTTGGTTTACATCAAAACCATATTTCGGTTTACATAAACCAGAGATATTAATATCACTACAACAAATTTGAGCATTAATAACACACGAAAAGCGCTATTATATGGGTTTAATAGCGTTTCATAAACGCTATCACAGCGGGAGCTATAATAGGTCCCCCCCTATACAATAGCATTTTTTCGTATGCTATGATAAGTTGTTATTTCATAGCGTATTGTAAACGCTGTTTAAAAATCTGTAAGAGCGTTATTATGTGCTGCAATATATTATATTATATCATTTATAAATGCTGTAGTTTCTATTACTCTAGCTGGTAGTTATTGTTGTACTAGAATTTTAGATAACACATTTTCTGAGCTACGATGTATATTATCGTAGCAGGAGAAAATATCCTTTTATGACTCTTGTTTTATGTCATCGTTTATGTGACCAAATTAACAGTTGTAAGATAGAAATTACTCAACCAAGTATCACATTAATGAAAAAACGTCATCATCCATACACACCAATTCAACTCAGCTCATACAAACTTTAACATAACATACGGTATCAGTACTACACATACATTCCTTCTCCGGCCAAGAAATAGAAGATAACATCTCTTACCTCATCCTAATACACGACCACTTTGTCCTCCGGCCAAGCAATAGAAGATCCAATTGCATCAGCCATACACTCTATTTCTGAAGATGACCTCCAAACAGCAGCGTCTTTGACTTTGACAACGTCGACCCATACACGAACTGCTTTAGGTCCTAAAGGAACAAAGTGCACGACTTGATCTGGGTCGTTTGAAGCCCATCGTCCTTCACGACGACCCTTTTTTTCTGGTGACATCTATCAGCTTGCACTTCTGATTTTCAGCTCCAACTTGGTTGAGAATGTTACGCTGTCATATGAACAATAGAGCAATGCATCTATAAGTAACTTATGTAAGATAAATTAAAACACAAAAAACAATGACTACAAACTTACTTGAGATCGCCGAGGAGATCTCCGAGGAGGTGATGGTGAAGGCGTCACAGACTGAGGATTTGATGCAGACTTCTCAGGAGGGGTTTTCGAACTTGTTTCACTTGAGGTTGGCAGAAAGACAATCTTATTTGCTGGCCAGGCGACGAATGACTTCAAGGCGTCCCCAAGAATTGTCATTTCTGTTGTAGGCCTCCAAAGGAATGTGTCAGGCTCCAATATGACATCCAAAAACACCTTAGCTGCACCTGGTCCAAGAGGAAGTCCGTTAACCAAAGCTTTGGGTTCTCGTGATTGCCAGCGGCCTTCAGCAACTATAACTCCCTCATTCCCAGCCCAATCCAGAATCTTGCATTTGTTTAAAGAATATGAGGTAGGACTCTGCGAAACAAAAAACATATATAAAAATTTAGGTAGATGGTAGAACTAAATTAATGAATCTACTAAGATTAAAAGTGAAGAAAAATTACCCGTAAAGCTATAGCTTCTGATATGATGAACTCGTTTTCTATTACAACACAACTGTTGGCAGGCCATGCAATCACTTCCCCCACCGCTTGCTCAACCGTAAACATATTTGGTGCAGGTCTCCAAAGAAAAGCCTCTGGTTTGGCAGCGGTTTCAACCAATACTTTAACACAGTTGGGTCCTAAGGGAATACCATTCAGAAAATCTTCAGGATCAGAGGAAAGAACTCGGCCCTCGCCAACATTGTCATCACTGCCAGACCAATCTACCAAAACACACTTAGGGTGTGATCGTTTGTTCACACTCTGCAGAATGTTCATTGTTGATGAAAGTCAAATTACAGGGCAGATTTTAATATATCGTAGTATATATGAATAACTGATCAGGGTTTAATGACTTACTCTTGGTGCTGAATTTTCACCAACCTCAGCTTCTTGTTTCTGTAATCATCAAAGACAAACACCAAAGTCAGCCACTAATCAAACTCTTGTAGATATTCACAAGTGTATCAGTTAGACGAACCTGGTTTTGCATCTTTGCAATAACAGCTTCTAAGTCCTGGACCTGTTGTTGCAACTGAAATTGCTGCTCTTGCATCTGAGCCATACACTTATTCTTCACTTGAAAGCAGGCTAATTTCGTCAAACTTATCCCTCTACCCATTGCCCTCAACCTCCCAGGATTATCCGGTCCTAAAACTTGAGATAGCAGATCTTCTCTTATGTTCGTTGTCGTGGATGAAGGAGCATCGCTCTCGAGTTCAGCTGCCTTTCTCTGATATACAAAAAACAATCCCAGAGTAAAATAAAAACTAAATCCATCTAATAAACCATTGTTTAAATCAATAGAAAAAAACTTACTATCTTCTCAGCAGCGTTAGTATTCACCGGTGTACCATCTTTTTTTGTACGGGACTTTACCCAAACTCTAAGTCGAGTCACTTTAGATGGTTCTGCGCTTTCTTTTTTCTATACAAGATATACAATAGTCCATATCAAACGCACTAATGAGTATGCATATAGTATAAGAATTACACTAACCATATCTTCTGTAAGCCTGACCATTCCTCTACGACTACATGTGTGAGGTATCTGATTGAGTCTTCTTTCCTTGTACTTGTCACTGACCACCTGAACATGAATGTTATTACGATAGACGAGAACAAAATAACAACAAAAAAGAAGAAGATATGAATACCTTAAAAGCTGGGCTGGTTTTCTGTTTGACGAATTTACGCCAGTCAGCTGGATTAACATTCTTGGGTCGTAGGAAATTTCTGGCTTGATTGTTACTAGCTTTCCTGATCTGGCTCACTAGCCGTGACTTGGATGCCCTCCACAGACATCCCATCTGTTTAATCACAGCCGCCTATTGGTACTCCTCATCAAGTTCAAACCTAGCCTGCAATTACAGAATCACAAAGTGAAACAAATATAAACAACGGTTTCGTTTCAGTTTTTAACAACAACATGAGCAAAAAACAAATAATACGTCACCTGAACAGATTTCCATAAAACGGTTTTCAGATCCTCTCCAATCTTCCTCCAATCATCTATGATAACAGGAACATGTTCTCACACCAATGGATCCAGATACGAAGATAACTTCACTGATCCTGGACCACAAGGTTCTCCCATGTCAGTGAAGTCAACACGTTCCCGCGTATTTGGATCTTTGGCGATGTTTTTCATCTTCGTTGGTCCTCTGTGTTTCTTACGTTGTGTCTCAACTACATTGTCTGCTTCCTCAGACACCATCGTTTCCCCAACTGCATCATGTGCCTTGTCAGACACTATCGCATCTCCACCTGACCCTTGTTCCTCATTACTCCTTTCTTCTTCGAACTCATTCTCAACTTCCGCGTTGTCTTCATTCAACTCCCGGCCTGCTGTCTGAGAAGTTGCTCCTGTCACTGAATCTATAACTGGTTCCAGCGGGTGCTGTGTCTCTTCTTCAACTTTGGTAGGGTGCTGTGTCTCATCTTCACCATTAGGACTGATATGTCCCACAAATTCCACAACATCATCCTTCGCAGTCCTCTGTTTTTTAGCACCCCTTTTTGGACGACCCATATTATTAATTCACCTGAAACCAGAAGATATATAGTTAGTATTAAAACTTTCACAAAGAGCAATGCAATCATAAGAGCCTGTAACTTCAAACTAAATTCAATAACTGATCAAACCCCATGCAAAATTTCATTTAAATGTAGAAAATTTTACACAACTAAAGGACTGTGGACAATTCCTAAACTATACTATTTATATATATATGCCTTCACAATCTGCTCGGGCATTCGCAGCCTCATCGTTAAAGTCATCGATGTCCATCTCAGCGCTTGACGGAAGCGGCCCAACTTCTACATTACCGTCTTCAGGATTGTCTTCATTGTATCTCCTTGTAGGACCTCGGAGAACTACATACCAACTAGATGAATCATCTTCCTTTGAATATAAGACTTGCTTGGCTTGAGAGGCTAGTATATATGGATCCTTATGAAAGGATACTTGGCTTTGATTGAGGTTGACAAGTGTGAATCCGTCTTCTATCTTGACACCGTTGCCTCTAACTGCCCATTGACACTTGAATAGTGGAACGTAAAATACATTGTAATCCAATAGTATAATGTCAGTGACCCTCCCGTAGTATTCTACCAAATCAACGACCTGTGAAGTGTCTCTTGCACTAGATCTACACATAGCTGTAGCCTCATAAAATACTCCACTATTCTGACTTTGCCTATGAACTGAAGTCGTGTGAAACCGCTGCCCATTCACTATATAACCAGTATATGACCTAGCAGTATTACGAGGACCATATGCCAGCCACTTGAGAGTTTCTTCATGTCTGTCTGAGGTCATAGGTATCTATAAAACGGTGTACATAAGTTAGTGTACATTGACGACAACACTAAAAGGTTGACTAAACAACTTTAAAGAAGTATGTGATTGTACCTGTTCCTTTAACCAGCACGCGAATTTTGAGTGTGTGTACTCCATAACAATGTTGCATCACGTCTACATCTTGCATTACTATCTTGCAGATGTTCAAGGTGCATACTTGTATGAAGAAGTCGAAACGAATCAGTAAACTTTCAATATAAATGAATGCAGAAAAGACTTAGGTATTTGTTGATACTTACTCGACAAATGGATCCACGAGAGCAGTGTTCTGAATGACAGCAAGATGGGCTATTTTTTTCTCCAATTCAGTAAGCTCAATAGTTGTGGCTGCGGATATAGGACGGCCTTCGAGTATAGAGTGGCTCTTGTAATCTGTATTTCTCTCTTTTTTGTCCTCTACACTTGTTGTTTTCTTTAGAAATTGACTACAGAATTGCATGCACTCTTCTGCGAGATAAGACTCTGCAATGCAACCCTCTGGTCTTGCAGGATTTCGAACAAAGTCTTTAAGTACTTTCATATACCTACACATACTTTTACTGATGAGTAACAATAAAATGCAATTCTATAATCTAAATTCCAAGACAATAACATACCTTTCAAATGGGTACATCCATCGAAAATGGACTGGTCCACCTAGTCTCGCTTCTCTTCCAAGATGAACTGTCAAGTGCACCATGATGTCAAAGAAGCTTGGAGGAAAGAACCGTTCAAACATGCAAAGTGTTTCCACGACTTCAGTTTCCATCACTGTAATTTGCTCTCTATCAATAATCCTCTGACACAGCAGGTTGAAGAATGCACAAAGTCTCGTAATTGCAATCCTAGGACCATTTGGAAGTAGTCCTTGCAGTGCAACCGGAAGAAGTTGTTGCATCAAGACATGGTAATCATGAGATTTTAGTCCTGATACCTTGCAATCCTCCAATGACATCCCCTGGATATGTTTGAGCAGTACCCATCTGGACCTCTGAAGTCAAAAAGTCGCTTGCAAAATATTTTTTTCTCAGTTTTGGACAAAGACCAAGGTGCAGGTGGAAGGTATGTTCTTTTACCCTGTATTTTAGGATGCAAGTCGTTTCTAATACCAGGAACTTGCAAGTCTTTTCTAGCATGAAGGCCATCTTTTGATTTTCCACAATGCAACAATGTAGCGACGATGCTTGCTGCAACATTTTTCTCCACATGCATCACGTCTAAGTTGTGCCTTACCGGCAGTTCCTAGGCATTAAAAGTGTATTAGTTAACAACAACAAGTTTGAAAAAACAGAAAAATAATTGAGCAACTATATAAAACGTTATTCAGACATACCTCCCAATAAGGTAACCTGAAGAAGATTAATCTTTTTTTCCATCTAGATAACTCGTCCTCATCTACTTCTTCTTCTTCTTCGTCCTCTGACTCACTGGACACACCATCGCTGTCAGAGTCCGATGCAACAGATACAACCCTTTTTCTTTTCTTTACTTTGTCTTTACCATTTCCGAAATCGTTTTTGTAATTTCTCAGTATTTGAGAGATATTTTGACCCGTTAAAATCCTAGCCTTGTTCCCATGCTCAGCTTTTCCATCAAACCATGCCTTTTTAACCCTATATCTATGTGTCGGTGCTAGACCTTTTCTGTGGCACATGTAAACATGCTTTCTACTGTTCTTCAGCCACATACTGTCTGTGTGTTTTCCACATAACGGACAACCCATTTTCCCCTTTACTTTGCAACCTGCAAGATTCCCATACGCAGGAAAATCACTGATAGTCCAAAGGAGGATTGCTTTGAGTTGGAATGTACTTTTACTAAAGGCATCATATGTAACCACTCCCTTGTTCCAGAGAAGCAGAAGATCCTCGATCAGAGGCTCTAAGTATACATCAATGCTATTCCCAAGCTGATGCAGACCAGGAATCAACAAGGATAGCATGATGTTTTCCTTCTTCATACATAGGTGAGGAGGCATGTTGTAGTTGACAAGCAGAACGGGACAGCTACTATATCTAGTGTTTTTCATGTCGAAAGGATTAAAACCATCTGTCGAGAGCCCAAGCCGAATGTTCCTCTCCTCAGCTGCAAAAGCAGGGTAGTTGTCGTTTACTTGATCCCATGTCACAGAATCTACCGGATGACGTATTCTTCCATCACTGCTCTTGTTTGTAAAGTGCCACCGTAAGTCCTTTGCTGTTTCTTCAGACCGGAACATTCGCTTGAGACGGGGGATAATAGGAAAATATCTTAAAACTTTATGTGGCACACCTTTCTTTACTTCACCTGTGTGCATGTTTATCTTCCATCGTGAAGTGTTGCATTTAGGACAATTATCAAGCTTCTTGTACTTCTTTCTGAATAGACAGCAATCATTAAAACAAGCATGAATCTTCTCATAACCCATGTCAAAAGACTTGAAGAATTTCTTGACATCGTACAGTGAAGTGTGAAGCACATTATCCGAAGGCAGCATATCTGGCAAAGTCTCCAGCAGATTATTGAAACTTTTGTCCGACCATCCATTTTGTGTCTTAATCCTAAACAGTGAAACTATTGCAGATAGCTTGTTATGATTTGAACAGGTTGGATATAGTGGTGTTTCCGCATCAGCCAGCTTTGAGAGAAACTCATCTTCTAATCTGTCTTCACCCTCAGCTTCTTCTCCCTTTCTAGCCAGCTCATCATCTAAATATTCAGCAGCTTGAAATAACCCAACTATCTCATCATTCCATTTACTTAAATTGCTTCCACCCTCAGCAACTAAGTTCACTTCTCCATGATGATACCAGTCAGCCCGCAACTTGTAAGCTTCATCCATGCCCCTTGTTACTAGGTGATCAACTACATCACTTGGTACATGACGAGCTACATTCCTACAGTCTTTGCATGGGCATACCAGCGTTTCAGTTTCTCCTAAAGCAGCAGACGCTGCTTCTACAAACTTCCAGACATCTTGCTCATACGCAGGATCAACCCTTCGGTTGATCAGTATGAACAGAAAATATAAAGACAGAAAACTCTTAAAGTGTCTAAAGATCAATATATGAAACCAAAACCTACAAATATGTTACTATCAATACCTGCAAAGATGAACCCATCCCTTCTCCAGCATTATATGTTCTAACCTTAATGACAATCGCAACATTTCAAACACTTAACACCACTAACCGATAACCTAAACCACATTCAACTAATAACCAAATTCTAATACTAACAGTTCCATGGAAGTGACTTACCCGTTCAGGTTACAGTAGTCAGGTATTGTGAATTGAATTCCCTCTGACCCACAATGTTTCTTCAGAACCCTAAGCTTAGAATAACAGAGGCATGCAATTAAAAAACTGAAGTTAGTACATATGAACCCTAATTTTCGGATAGAAATTGGGAACGAACTAAATTACCTGTACAACTTCTCTTGGTTCTGGGTTCGGTCTTGATTATCAGACACCTCATGACATGCAAGAAATTTCGGATAAAAGTAAGGAAACAGGAACGAACTCAAATCAAAGCAAATTAGAAGTTTTAAACAAGAGAGGAGAGTCGATTAAAGTAAGGTACCTTTTCCTGTTACTCGTCTGGAAGGAAAACAAGAGAGGAGTGTCGATTCGATCCAACGATAGTGAGACTGAGACTGCGGGTAAATGAGATCTAGGTCATAATAACACCAGACGAAACTCAGAATGAAATTGCGGCTTACAGAGACGAGATTGTCGCCGGCGAGAAGAAGATCTGGTCGGTATTCGACGGCGAGACGAGATTTTTGTTCTAAGCTTATTTTTGTCTGCGTCTAAACCCTTTCTCGACTTAACCCTTATTTTTTTCTAAGTGTTAGTGAAAAAATGAGAGGCAAGGAGAGATTTGGCTTCCCGCTTATGATTATTTTTTCTAAGTGTTCCCGCATAAGTGAAAAAATGAGAGGCAAGGAGAGATTTGGCTTCCCGCTTATGATTTCAACGGGTTAGCGTTAGATAAATGCTGTGATAGGATAACTCAATACTTCGACTAATCTGTAATAGCATTTTAGTAAATTGCGCTATAATATTGTGCTATCATTGCCCAAATTTGTTGTAGTGTATCCCCTCTCAAGATGGCGAATATATAGAAAGGAGAGACATCTTGCCCATAAGCTTGTTGAACTGAGCTGGATGAAGCGGTTTAGTGAATGCATCAGCTAACTGCATATCAGTACGAACATGAAGTGGCTTGATCAGTCCACATTCAATGCGTTCCCAGATCTGATGACAATCTGATTCCACATGTTTAGTCCGTTCATGATATACTGGATTCGTAGCAATACTCATCGCTGAAGTAGAATCACAGTAGAAAGCAACGGGCTTATGTTGAGGGACTAACAACTCGGTGAGTAAGAAGACTAACCACTGTACCTCTCTGCTAGCAAAATTCATCGCTCTGTATTCAGATTCTGTGGATGAATGAGACACAGTTGGTTGTTTCTTAGTCTTCCAAGAAATGAGTGAGGTGCCAAGGAACATGCAGTATCCCGAAGTGGAATGTCTTGTGTCAGTACAGGAAGCCCAATCAGCATCAGTGAAAGCTTTAAGAACAAGGTCTGAATCGGCTGAATAGAATAGACCAAGACCAATTGTTCCTTTCAGGTAATGAAGTACCTTAAGAGCAGCTCGGTGATGTGAAGGTTTAGGAGCTGATGTATATTGACAAAGAAGATTCACTGCGTAAGTGATATCCGGTCTTGTAATTGTGAGATACATCAACTTTCCTACCAAACGACGATAAGATTCCGGATTCTCAAGAAGTGGTTCATCACTTTCTAAACAGAGTTTAATATTTGGCTTCATAGTAGATGGCTTGCAAGCTAAAAGCCCTGCTTCTTCAATCAATTCCAAGGTATATTTACGTTGAGAGACAGATATACCTGAAGCAGATCTAGCAATCTCCAAGCCGAGAAAGTACTTCAAGGGTCCAAGGTCTCTTAACTTGAAAAATGATTGAAGGTCTAGTTTCAGTGTAGACACATCTTCTGTGTTATTACTGGTGATGATAATATCATCGACATATACCAAAACAGCAGTGTATATGCCTGCATTATTTCTCACAAATAATGTGTGATCCGCATGGGATTTCTTGAAACCAAGGTGCAAAAGGGTATTACTGAATTTGAGGAACCACTGTCTTGAAGCCTGTTTCAAGCCGTATAGCGAAAGCTTACAGACTGCATTTGGAGGAAGACATTCACCGTGTTTTGGTGTATATCCTGGAGGAAGCTTCATGTATATTTCCTCAGAGAGATCACCATTCAGAAAAGCGTTGGAGATGTCTAGTTGATCAAGGCTCCATTTCTTTGCAGCTGCAACTGCTAACAATGTTTTGACTGTCGTCATTTTTGCTACTAGAGAGAAGGTATCTGCAAAATCTACTCCTTCTTCCTGTGTGTAGCCTTTTGCTACAAGGCGAGCTTTGTAGCGCTCTAAGCTTCCATCGGCATGAAGTTTAACTTTATAAACCCACTTACAGCCTATGGCGTGTTTATCAGCTGGCAAAGAGCATATGGTCCAAGTCTGAGATCGTTCCAAGGCTATCAACTCCTCGTTCATCGCTTTGAGCCATTCATCAAATTTCTTGGCCTCTCGGAATGAAGATGGTTCTGAATGAAGAGTCACAGAACATAGATATGCTTTGTAATCCTCTGAGAGTTTATTGTAAGACATATATGCAGCAATAGGATATGGGATATCTGTTTCTGTCACATTGCAGTAGTAGTCTTGTAGATATGCAGGAATCTTTGTTGATCGTTTGTTGGTGTTTGGAAGGTCTGAAGGAGCAACTGCATCTGTCCCTGATGAAGAAGAGTGAACGCTGTCGCCTATAGGATGGAGGTCAAAGTTCCCCGTACGCTCAGAACATTCACCCTTTTCATAGGTAGACGATGTTGCAGATGTATCAATGTCAAAACAGTCGGGATTGGTGTTGAAGGATTCCTTTGCGAATGGGAAAATATCTTCATGAAAGACTACATTCCTTGAAATGTGAACTGAATGAGTTTCCAGGTCAAGCAATTTATATCATTTGTATCCTGCAGGATAACCAAGGAAAACACATGCTTTTGCACGAGGTTGGAATTTGGTTCTGTTCTTTGAAGAGGTGGAACAGTAAGCCAGACAACCAAATACACGCAAACCATTGTAATCAGGACATTTAGAGGTTAAAGTCTGATATGGTGACCTGTTTTTCAGAAGAGGCATCGAAAGTCTGTTGATCAAGAAAACAGCAGTTAGAATACAATCTCCCAAGTATTCTAGTGGCATCTTTGCCTGAAACATGAGGGATCTAGCGACATTAAGAATGTGCTGATGCTTCCTCTCGACAACAGAGTTCTGCTCTGGAGTCTCTGGGCATGAGTGATAAGCTTTGATGCCTTTAGCCTTGAATAGATCAGTAAACTTGAGCTCAGGAGCATTATCTGATCGTACTGCCTTGACAACCGTGCCATATTGTGTCTCCACCATTTTTAAGTAATCAGGAAATATTGTTAGAACCTCAGACTTCGTTCTTAACATATATACTCAAGTTACTCCGGTGTGATCATCGACAATAGTGAGGAAGTACCTGTATCCTTCAACAGTAGACACAGAAAAAGGTCCCCATATGTCAATATGAATCAGATCAAAAGCATTATCACATAAGTTGTTTAAAGAGTTATATGATAAATGCTTTTGTTTGGCAAGAGGGCAAATAGAACAATGAAATGGGTCTTTATTTCTTTGTTTTATTTTGAGTACATATGTAAGTAAATCTACTTTAGATACAGATGGATGCCCTAGTCTATTATGCCATAATACTGAATCAATAACAAGGTTTGTATTGTAGAATCCTTGTGATGGAATGTGTTCATCAATGCGATCCCTGTCCAGAACATATAGGTTTGAAACCTGTTCACCCTGACCAATCGTCAAGCCCTTGATATGATCCTGTATCAGACAAGTATATTCATCAAGTATTACTCTGCATTTTAAATCCCTTGTTAGCTGACTTACGCTTAGGAGATTTAGTCTGAAATCAGGTATATACAGGACGTTATTCAGCACTAATGATGGATTCAGTTGAATCTGTCCAATACCAACAATTTTGATGTCTAAACCCGTAGGTAAAGTCACCGAGTTATTGACAGAGTTATTCATGCTTACGAATAGATTCTTGTCATGTGAAACATGGTGTGTTGCACCACTGTCTACAATCCATGATCTAGATGATGAAGCATTTCCTGTGGCTCTTAAAATTCCAACAAAATGAAGAGTTTTTGAGGATATAGCCATACCAGGAAGAGCTGTTATCATACCACCAGTTGTTGAAGAAGCGGTGGGATCATTTGATGAGGGTAGGTGAGAGTTGAAGTAAGCAATGAGCTCCTGAATCTGGTCCTTCGAGAGTGTGCTTGTATTGTTGTTGCCATTAAGTTTAGTGTTGGCGAGAGTAAGGTTGGCAACAACAGGTTTGGATGATTCAGGTTTCTTCTCTGTTGCGTTTTGTTTGCCCTTGTGTTTGAAGCCAGGAGGATATCCGTGTATCTTGTAACACTTGTCAATAGTGTGACCATTATAACCACAATGACTGCATACAGGTCGGGGTTTTTGACCAGTGTATGTTGAATGTGTGGCATTAACAGATGCTTGTTCCGGAACTGAAACATTGAATGTTGAAGCATTCTGAATAGGATGAATGTTTCTTTGGTTGAAGTCTTGATCGAGAAGATTGTAAACTTCCGCAAGATCAGGTACATTCTTCTTCATTATTATCTGACTTCGAGCATGAGCATATGATTCATTCAAGCCAGCCAGAAACTTGATGATCTTCGTGTGCTCTGCCTTTGTTGCTGTGGCTTTACAAAAGTTACAGGTTCTGCAAGTTTTTACACATTCTGCTCCATCAAGATCGTCCCAAAGTGTTTTCAATTTGGTGTAGTATGTAGAAAGATCTGTGGAACCTTGCTGGAGAGACCAGATTTGTTGTGTAATTTGATACGATCTTGGTAGATTTGTGATATGAAATCTAGTTGTCAAATCTTTCCATATTTCAGAAGCATCATGGAAACGAAGGATACTACCATAGATCTGTTTCGATACCGAGTTCAATATCCAGGATTTCACCATACTGTTGCATCTAGACGAGATACGATAATGAGGATGAGATTCCGGTGGACGAGGAAATGAACCATCAACGAACGCAAGTTTATTCTTAGCATCAAGAGCAATCGTCATAGCTTGGTTCCATGTATTGAAATTGGTTCCATCAAGTACCTCAGGTATGATCGATGCACCGGGATTATCACTGCTGGTCAAGAAATATGGTGAATATTGAATACCGTCGAAGTCAAAGTTCATTTGCGAAGAAGATTGATGAACGGTGCTCGGATCGACAAAGGACGGCGTCGGAATAGTCGCCGGTGGTGGACTTGTTGAGATTATCACCGGAATAGGTGGTTCAGGTTCAGAATTAGTTGGAGTTCTTCGTTTAGCTGCGGATTTGTTCGGATTTGATGTTGAAGCTGTTCCGCGAGCTACGCGTCGAGTAGATCGGCGAAGAGTAACCATTTTCGAAGAAATCAGGTGGAATAATCCGAATTGGAGCTTGAAATCGGTGGAATAACCGAAAAAAACTCATAAAGGATCTATCGGAGGAATTTCCGAAGGATCTAGGTCAAGAAAACGTGAAAAAGAAGATCGAATCGTGTTGAAATTTGGATTTCAACGCTCTGATACCATGTTAGAAGGAAGAAGACGAGAGAGAAAGAGTCGGTGAAAAATTCTGTTATTCATCGTTATGGTCAACGTTTACAACTGAGTCTCTTATATACAAGAAGATTTTGGTTTACATCAAAACCATATTTCGGTTTACATAAACCAGAGATATTAATATAGTATACCAATATACCATATCATCATGTACAGTTTCTCAAGATATACACTGTTTGTAGATGAGTATGCTACGGTCTATTCTGTGGATATCTCTCCAAACTCGGTTAGGCGTTCCGGTAATGCAAACTTTACGGTAACTGTTCATACAAGTAAGTGATTCTCATATCTCTCTCTCTCTCCCTCCCTCTCTCTCTTGCTACGATCTTGTGACGTTTTGGTGTACGACCCCCAAAGAAGGATGGTTTTAAATCCCAAGTTTTGATACAAATCTTGGCGTGAACAGTAAAAGCAATTCCTGGTGGAGCAGCAACTGCAGTATGGCTCTATTGTTTTGACGATTATCATCAGTTATTCGTATTTTCAGAGAAGTACTCCTTGTGTGATATAACGGCGCCATGCCCTGTAAAACCTGGCCCCTTTGTTCTTACTTTCACTAACGTATTCACAGAATCGCTACGACAAGCAGTAAGTTTGAGACGATTTAATTCCCTTATATATCTTTGAATTTGGCTTTTCTGATCATCTAACGGGACCTTTATTTGTTTTTTACTTTTTTTTGGTCATTTGGTTAAAACTTTAGCCGCCAAATTACCATATTTATATAAGCATTGCGGAGCAGAAAGAGATAGGGCCAAAACATGCGCCAACAATGTGTGTCGAGTTCTTATGTGAGTTCACTGGTTCTGTTCCACCTGGGCTTAGTCAAGTATTTGCCGAGTGAAAGACTATATGTATGTTTCAAGTTTTCTTTCACTCGATCTTAATTTCTCTCCCTCTCTCGCTCTCCGTTGAAAAACTATAGCTATATGTATGTTTCAAGTTTGTATCCTTTCTGTTTTATGTGCCATCCAACAAAAAAGAAAGAGAGCTAATACTTCCTTATCACCGTTTTCGATCGATTTGGGTTTGATCTCTCTGAACCGGCCGTGAAAATCTTTAATAAAGACGTTGTTGGTTTTCCATATCAGAACCCGAAGCTAATATATGAAACCATTTTTGTTTAAATGTTAATTAGGAAGCTAATTGTCCCAATAGCTCGTTGTAAATCAGAAACTACAAAATTTGATGAAGTTTTGAATTTTTAAATCAGTAATTTTAGCCGCAAAATATTCTCCCGTTAACTTTTTACAAAATAGCAAAACCCATTAACTAGGCAAAACCCAAATGATCTAAACCAGCATTATCAAACAACTTTTGAATAAACCAAAGAGTATATACCATAGATGACACTAAATGCCGAACCAACCAACTCCCAACCATCGCTTGAAATCTTCGGAAGCAGTCGCCGTATATATTCGCGTGAATGTATTTATTATTAGGTCATCAAAATCGTATAATCTACTGATCAAAAATGGTAGGCATGCATTCTAAGTATAACACGTATTACAAAGGTAACCGTGCCTACACTGTAATGAAAAAAGCTTTTGCTTCAAGCCTCCAAAATACATAAAGTTTTTTAGGGTCCTATTTTTTGTAATATGTGGTGTATCAGAGTGTTTAGCGTGAGTTATGTGATCAAAGTTTTCCGTGTTCAAAGCTGTTATTTTTGTTTATATCGTTTTTTAAGATAGAAAAGAAAAAAAGGATAATCGAGATTCTGAAAAAGAAATATGTTCTCAACCTAAAAATTGGGAATCCAATTGGAAAAGAAATCGATTAAAGTCTTAAGTCTCTAAACCAAACTAGAAATCTGAGATCAACCAACGACGAAGAGATCAAGCCCTCTATTCTCTTGACACAAAATTTGAGCAATTTCAGAAGTATGAACAGACATTTAGTTTTCTATTTGATTTGGAAAAATTGAAGTCAACAACAGCAAGTGATGATAGTTTGATGTACCAATCTTGAAGTCTCTTTAAAACATGAAAATCATTTAGATATTATTGGGGATGATTTGTTTTTTGAGCTAACAATTCTAAAAGAGTCTTTGCCAAAAGACTACAACTACAAGAGACCGTTGAAATGTTTGAATTATTTGAAAAGAATGGAAGAATGTTATCCAAACTTTGGATTTAGCTTATCAATATTCCAATTTTAGTTGTCAAAAATTTTTTTTCAAAGTTCAAGTTGATACAATTTTATTTGTGATCAACTATATCACAAAAAATTGAATAATTTAGTTATCATATCTATACCTATAGAAAATGAATTAGTTAGGAATCTGGATTATGAGAGTTTAGTGAAAAAGTTTATTGAAAAAAAAAAAGAGATTATATCTTAGTTTTTTTAGATTAATATTTTGTTTGAAGATTTTATATAGTTTTAAAATTATATCATATTTTTCTGTTAAAAAATCTTGTTTTTTTAATTTATTTTAAGCCTCTATAAACCTTCTTACGACACTATATATACTTCTTTGTCAAACCAAGTCGAAAAATATATTTTTCTCTACTGAGAAATGAAATCTATTTTAAGATTCCCGCATATAACGAGGGAGATTATATTATAGGTAGGGATATATTATTTTTAACCAAGCAACTGATTTGGCAAAATCTTACAAACCTATACCGACTTTTTAAATTGTGTCATGCATTAAGCATGACACGTGTTACATATGTCTTTGTCAAACCATATGTACTGAAAAATGTATTATTCTAAAGTCTCGCGTATAACGTGGAATATTATATTATAGGGAAGATTATTTTTTAACCAAGTCACTAATTTGGCAAAATCTTACAACCTATATATATAATAGTAGAAATGCATGTTGGAAGTATGGAACAAGTGCTATAAAAAGATAAATATATTTTCTCTACTGAAGCTAGATTAATATCCATGGCGATATCTCAAGCCCCGCCTTTGCTGCTTATTCTCCTCGTTTCACTCTTTGTTTTACCTGCTTTGGGCAGTCTCACCAAGTTCGGAAACTGCGACAGTAAGTATCGATTTTTTTTTTGTTTTTTTTTTTGCTTGATTGTGTTGATAAACAAATGACTTGTTGAAATTACTTTGATTTTTGGAAGTTACAGAATATTACAGTTTGCTTTTTTTTTTTTTGGGTTTAAAGTTTCTTTAACGTCGAAAAAGTAATATTATTGATCAAACAAGTCAAATCAGAAATTTGGTAGAACATATATTATACATACCATTTTCTCAAGATATCTATCTTACTAAATAGATAAAAAAAATTTTATCTAGGTACGCATCAGTATCCCACTACGGTCAGTTCTGTGGATATCTCTCCATTCCCGGTTAGGCGTTTCAAAGATGCAAACTTTACGATAACTGGTTCTACAAGTAAGTAATTATCCTCTCTTTCTCTCTCTCTATTTTTGTTTTTTTTCTTCTTTTTCTTAACGATTTCTCCAACTTGAATAATTTGGTCTTAAATCCCTAGTCTTGATTTCCGTATATTAATTCAAATCTTGGCGTGAACAGGGAAAGCAATCCCTGGTGGAGCAAGTGTAGAGCTCATCTTTGTGGTATTAACACAATATGATAAATTCTTAGACACAAAGAGTTACTCATTGTGTGATATAACGGCGTGCCCTGTTTTACCTGGCCCATTTGTCCTTACTTTCACTAACGTAATGAAGCATTGGGAACATGAACATTTAGTAAGTTTGAGACGAATTCCATAAAATTCGCTGAATTTGGTTGTCTTTTCTATCTAACGAGACCGTTATTTGTTTTTTTTTTTGTTTAAAACTTTAGCCATATTACGTGGTTGATCTAAAGATCATGGAGAAGAACGTGAAAGAGCCAATAATGTGCATCGGGTTCTACATATATGGTGGGTTCACTGGTTATGTGTCTGAGATTAGTCAAGTATTTACCGGGTGAAACTATCTATGTTTCAAGTTTTTTTTTATAACTCTCTCTCTCTCTCTCTCTCTCTCTCTCTCTCTCTCTCTCTCTCTCTCTCTCTCTCTCTCTCTCTCTCTCTCTCTCTCTATGATTTGATTTTGATGACCTCTCTGGCTAAAACACCTTTTAATAAAGATGTTACTGGTTTTCCATATCAGGAAACCATTTTTGTTCAAATGTTAATTAAGGAATCTAATCAAAATATATGACCCCTATTTCATCATAGATTTGAGTTGCGTATATTACAACAAAATCATCCAACTACAAAGCAAACTGAACGCGACCGGTCAAATCTGTGGGTCTCTCTCCAAACCCGGTTAAGCGTTCCGGTAATGCAAACTTTACGGTAACTGCTCATACAAGTAAGCGATTCTCCTCTCTCTCTCTGTTTGTTTTGCTTGTTTTAAAGATTTTTTCCCACTTTAATTGCATGTTAATGGTGTTAGAAAAGGTGTCCAATACATTTTATTAAAGAAAAAAAATACCGCTTCATCTCTCTCTCGACGATTCTACAGGTCTGTAAAAACAAAACCGTTTTCTGCTACAATCTCCGGCCGATGCCGGCTCCGGCGTGGGCTGTATTTTTTGTTTCTCTTCCTTATAGATTTTAGTTTTCTCTTCTAAATAAATTCCAGAATATTGATTACACAGAAGATCTTTTTGGTGATTCATCTTCAATATCTCTGTTTTACTCTCTCTATTCGGGAGAGTGTTCCTCCGACCAAAATCCGGCGATTACCCAGAAGATTTTGTGTCGGCTTCAGTCCGTTTGGGGTTCCCAAAACGGTTTATGTCGGTTCATCTTTGTAACCGTTCAAATATGGGATCCAGGCATATCTACTATCGGTGTAGATGATGTGATTCTACAGATTTGGACGATTAAACTCAGATTGCTCTTGCATCTTATCGACATTGACCCTATCAAACACCTATCCTCCAAAACAACGACAGATCTGAAGCCCATAGTTGATTGGATCACTACGACATCAAAATCCATTTCACAACCTACATGTTGTGTTATTGAAGAAAAATTGATTACGTTTTTGCCTTATATTATCTTTGGAGTTGGTGAAAAAATGAAAAGCCTTCAATATGATGATTGTATGAGTCAGATGGATATAGCGGAAGAGATACAAAAATGTTGGCGTTACATGTTACCAATAATAATTATAGAAAAAGAAGGTACATATCTTCAGGATTGTATCAGTGCAAGAGGAATGCAAAGATCAAAAACGTGAATATGCATCACTCAACAGGAGGACAAAGAGGACAAAGTCAAAACTAAACCCTGATAAAAGGATTTGGATACGGAAGCCTAGGTATCTGACTGTAAAAACAGAATTTTAGAAAACGGAAGCATTGGATTTTATCATGCTGTGTGTAATTCAAGTTTTAGCCAAAAAAAGCTAGCCAAACATACAATTCGCATAAAAAAAAGAAAGAATACAGAAAAGAAAAATAACGAATTTAATCATTCCTTAGCGAATAAGACTTTACTTCGGAAAGCATCGTCAAATTCACTTTTCATGTTATATCTTTCTTAACATATGACGCATATATCTGCATATGTAATAATTTGTTTTCCAGAAGTTTTGTATATTGACTTTGTAATCCTACTTTGATATTAATGAAATTGTTTTATCGAAAAAAAAAATTGCATGTTAATGGTGTTAATAAACTAAATACTGTATATCAAATACCTTTGGTAAAGATTGTTGAAACCGCTCTCGTCTCTCTCAATTCTCTGTATCATCATCGCCACTTTTTAGAGACCGCCATGGCCGGTGACCGGCATCATGCGGCACTGTGGCTTTATCTATTATATCTGTTTTTTTTTTGTCTCGTTTTGATTTACCTTGGATTTCAAAAATCTGTTTTCTTCTATAAAATCTCATTGAACCTTATCAAAATTGGTTAGCCGATGCGTTTAAAGGCTTCATGTCGGTTCAGTTTCATAGATTTCAACCCAGAATTTGTTCTTCTGCTGGCTTTCCTTTGCTGCAACCGTGATCTCTGCAACGGCGTCCACGTTTGCGATACATGTATCCATTTACTTCTACTGGAATATTTTCTGTGGCCAATTGAATTTATTACTCACGTATAAGATGGTTGTTAGTGATTGTGTTTTCATTACAACTACTTGGCTCTACTGGAATTTAGAAGATATAGCCTCTATCATGACTTTCTCTATCCACAAAGTCATTGTCATTGCACATCAGTCTCTAATTTACAAAGTTATCAGAGATATGACCGGAGTTAGAATATCGCTTTATGAAGTTGTAAGTTTGGATTTCATGAGTTGTGTTGTTGCAGAGGGGATGTTTGAAGTAAATCCATGCAAAATAAATTTTTTACACAATGATAGAGATTTCATGAGATGTGGGTTTGTGAAGCTTCCAAAATCGAGTCAAATTCTACATGAAAAAATAAAGATTTATTGGATTGAAAATGTCAAATTATTTCAAAAAAACTCTGATATAAAATTTTTAGGACTATTAACGGAGACATAGAATTTTATCAAAACGAAAAAAAATGAACACCTCCCATTTAAAAGTAGGTCATCAAAATTGTATAATCTACTGACACCAAAAATGGTAGGCATGCATTCAAGAACAACATGTGTTACAAAGAGTACACGTATTACAAAGTATATACGTATTATATACGTCTTCGTCAAACCAAGCGAGGCATATTATTTTTTTAGATTCCCGCATATAACGAGGAAGATTATATTATAGCGAAGGTCCTTCGCTATACAAAATAGCTTGCAGCGAAGGATATTGTTTTTTCTTTTAACCAAGCCACTGATTTGGAAAAATCTTACAAACTTATACCGACTATAATTAAAATAGTATGCATGCATTTAAGCATAACACATATTACATATTTCTTTGTCAAACTAAAGTACTGAAAATCTATTCTAAGATTCTCGCCTATAACGTGGAATATTATATTATAGGGATTTTTTTAACCAAGTCACTAATTTGGCAAAATCTTACAACCTATAAAATAGTAGAAATGCATGTTGAAAGTATGAAACAAGTACTATAAAAAAAAATTATTTTCTCTACTGAAGCTATAGTATCCATGGCGATATCTCAAGCCCCACCTTTGATGTTTTTTCTCCTCGTTTCACTCTTTTTCTTACCTGCTTTGGGCAGCAGCGTCAACTTCAAAAACTGCGGACGTGAGTATCGATATGTTGTTGTTGTTAAATCATGTTTTTAGTTTGGTTGTGGTAAAAAAAAAAAATGACAACTAGAAACTACTTTGATTTAGTGGAAGTTAAAGACGAGTTAAACATAGTACGGTGTTCGTTATAGTTTTTGCTTTTTGGGTCTGAAGTTTCTGTAACGTCGGTCGATAACAAGTAATATTATTGATCAAGCAAGTCAAATCAGAAATTTGCTAGAACATATAGTGTACTTACCATACCATCATGTATAGTTTCTAAGAGCATCTCCATTGATGAGAAACTATAAGAATATCTCAAACAAAAACAATATTAATATTTAATTAAAATTTTATTATTTCATTAAATTTTAATTTAAAAAACAAATTTGAATCAATCTAAAAATGACACATGTGTTTTGGGATTCTCATTGGGTTTCTATAAGTTCTCATTTGAGAACTCCATCTCATTCTCTCTTTCTTTTCTATTATTTTTCTTATTTATATGATGAGAAACTATGATGATAACTTCCCAATGGAGGTGGTCTAAGACCATCTCCATCAAGATCTCTAAACTCTTTTTGGGCCCAGTTTCATAGGCCAAATTATTAAAAAATAATGTCATTTTCTCATCAACCCGTCTCTTAATTAAGAGATTTTAGACTATCATTATCCCTAAAACTTTTAATAGGTTTCTTAATAATTTTTTATTGTTAAACATGAGTTAAGAAACCTCTTTTAAAACCCCAATATTTTCAATGGTACATTGGTAGAATTTCATTAGGTTTCTTAAAAAAAGGAGAAGAGCAAAACTGAAAGAAGAGAAGAATAAGCAGATGAGAAGAAGAAGAAGATGAGAAGCAAAGTAGAAGAGATGGTGTGATCAGATGGTAAGAAAGAAGCAGACACGATGAAGAAGCAAAGCAGACACAAAGATGGTAAGAAAGAAGAGAAGAAGACATGAAGAAGAAGAACCAGATGAGAAGCAGAAAGAAGCAAGAGCAGATGAGAAGCACCGGCTTCACGGAGAGGCATCGCCTTGAAGAGAAGAGCACCGGTTTTTTTAAGGCCACCACTCCCTCTGGCGCACAGCTGCTCTCCTTCGAAGCCAACAACGACGACGTTTAGTTCTTCGAAAGTGGTGACTAGTAGTTCGAATCCAGAGAAAATAAAGAGAATTGGAAATGAAATTTTCAAGAAAAGCAAGCGGCGGAGACGAATCGAATTGGAGAGGAATCGTCGAAGAAGAAGAAAGAAAGAATGGGAAGAAAAGAAAGAAAAAAATTTCAGTCTTTTTTTTTTTAACCAATGCAATGAAGATATGTAGCAATAAAAATCGGTTCTTTTCGATCCCAAATAAGAATCGATACTTCTGCTTTTTTGTATTTTTGGTTTTTCTTTTCTTAATTAAATCCCTAAGAAATTCAGTTAGAAACTGCGATAATGATGTTTTTAGAGACGGTATCATAAACCACGTGTACACGTGTCATTGGGCAGAGTTTTTTTATTTTTGACTATTTTTCCTCTTCAACCATTTTCTCTTCTTCGTTTTTGGCCGATGATTTTTGATCGACGATTCTTTCTCCTCTTCATTTTGGCTGGCAATCTTTGACACCAGAATCATCATTGTCGCTGCTTTTCCGTCTCTCCGCTAATTTCAGATTCCGAAATTGGGGAACAGAAGAGGACTGGGAATGGTGACAGAATGTTCGTCCAGGCCACACAAAAAATCGACGGCGGCTCATTACAGGAAGACGAGGCTGAAGAAGACTCAGCCTTGGGATATTAAGAGAAAACCCACTGTTTATGTTCCTCTTCCTCCTCTCCCGCCAGATTGGGCTCCGCTCACTTCCTCCTCTCCCGCTGGATCGTATTCTGCTTGTTATTAGGCATTGAAAGTCAGGCTAATCAGGCCAGCGGTACAAGTGAGGAATGCACAATGCTTTGTTGCAAATGATAAGTCTTGTTTCCTCTACCCCTTTGATTTGATCCAATCCATGCTCTCTGTTTAAAACTTGATTGGGTTGACAATTGTAGCTAATCATAATTGTGTATCTAAAACCACACGAATGGTAATGCAAAGTAGTGTTTTGAGAAACAATTCTAGTATCTAAGAATTTGAGGATGAATTATCTTAGCTATAATGGTAGTAGCTAAGGAACCTTTTGCTCTTCTCTGTTAGATAGAGTACGAAGTTTTCATTCAAGATATATCGTTGATGAGGTGCCTTCTCGAATCCTTAATTACTATACAACTCAAAGTCGAAATACATAAGATGTTAGTGCCTTCGCTTATCTAAAGACATTCGGTGCTGGTACTTGCAGGGGTTTGCAATCACGCCTTCCACTTTCACTGCATCAGCAGGTGGCTAAAGACGTGTCAAGTTTGTCCATTGGGTATGTGTTTCTCCGTCTGAAGCTTATTGACTTCATCGCAGTTTTTTTGTTTATTTGTTTGTTAATACTTCTGAGTTTTTAACAGATAACAGTGAGTGGGAGTTCCAGAAATATGGTCACTAAATCAGCCAGTCGTTCGAGCAAATATGTGTCTAATCGAGGATAGCAGTTTCTGCACATGATACCAAGATTGATCAAGTTCTTTTTTTTTTTCTTTTTTTCTTTTCTTTTGTAATGTGTTCACAAGAGATTTACATACTCACTGAACCTTTTATCTTTATGCGTTGGGTGATGTCTTTGATTTCAAATACTTGAATGTGTTTGTTAAGTCTTGATATTGAACTTGACTTATTTGGTGGCACTAGTTAGATGCTTTCTCTTAATTTTTATTTTATTTTTAAGAACTTCAATGAAATTCACCAATGGAGAAAGAAAAAAACTAAAGGTTCTTCACTGTTTATAAATAAAGAAAAATTAATAAAATAAACTTAAAATATTCAAAATGAGTATCATTGATGTACATGCTCTAAAGAGTAAATATATACACTGTTTGTAGCTGCGTACGCTCCGGTCTTTTCTGTGGATATCTCTCCAAACCCGGTTAAGCGTTCTGGTAATGCAAACTTTACGGTAACTGCTTATACATGTAAGTGACTCTCTCTCTCTCTCGTTTTAATTATTTATTTCCCACTTTAATATCATGATAATATTGATCTTGATAATCGAGTGGGTCTTGATCATGTGACGTTTAGGTATGGATAATATCATGATAATATCCATCCCTAAACCCCCAAAGAAAGTTGGTTTTAAATCCCAAATTTTGATACAAATCTTGGCGTGAACAGCACAAGCAATTCCTGGGTGAGCAGAAATATTGCTCAGTTGTATTGACGATTTTCGTCAGTACGGATTCACAGAAAAGCTCTCCTTGTGTGATCTAACAGCATGTCCTGTAAAACCTGGCCCGGTTGTCCTTAAATTCACCAACGTATTCACAAGATTGCAATTACAAGTAGTAAGTTTGAGACGAATTCCCTTCTATATCTCTAAATTTGACTTTTCTGATCACCTAACGAGACCGTTATTTGTTTTTACCTTTTTTTTTTGTCATTTGATTAATAATTTAGCCGCGAAGATACTATGTTATTCTAGGCATATACTCGGACGAGGAAGAGAAGATGCCAGACCGTATGTCAACAATGTGCGTCCATTTCTATTGCGAGCTCACTGGGGATACTATTTTACCCGGGCTTAGTCAAGTATTTGCCGGGTAAAAGACTAGTCTATGTATGTTTCAAGTTTTTTTATCACTCCATCTATTTCTCTCTCTCGCTCGCTCTCTCGTTGAATAACTATATCTCACTATATGTATGCTTCAAGTTTGTATCCTTTCTGCTTTATAGCCGTTTTCGATCGATTTGGGTTTGATCTCTCCGAACCGGTGAACACCTTTACTAAATACGTTGTTGGTTTTCCATATCAGAACCCAAAGCTAATATATGAAACCATTTTTGTTTAAATGTTAAGGAAGCTAATTATCCCATTATTATCCCAATTAATGTATATAGAACATACTTGATCGTATATTGGAGTAGCATATACCACAAAATCATCCAAATCCAAAGCAAACTGACCACGACCAAAAATAAATAAAATTAATAAAACTGAACGTGACCATTTTCTTATTTTTCAATAAATCTCTTACCAATACTATTACCCGGAGCATTTTTTTTTTGGAGTTGTTATTTTTAATATGATTTTTGAAATGCTTTGAAACAACAGTGAAAAATCTGCTTAGGTTTATTCATGTTTTAAATAAATAGAAACAAAAATTATATTAAAATCTATTTTACCTAAGAAGTAGCGTAGTTTTGTAAATTTGAGATAACAATTGACTAATGTATCATAACAAATTATTTAATTTACATACGAATTCAAAAGATTACATTTTTTTTTAAATGTATATATATGTAATATGTATATATAGATATCTGTTAAATATGAAAAATATAGATATAGGAGTTAGTCGAATTTTAAATCAGTAATTTTAGCCGCAAAACTCTCCTGTTAACTTAAAATACAAAATAGCTCGTTATAAATCAGAAACTACAAAATTTGATTAAGTTTGTCTCTTCAATATCTCCGATTCCTCGTTGCACCAGTAGCCTATTTACTTAATTATCACTAAAACAACAAGAGTTTTTGCGTAGACTCTGTTTTTCGACAAATAGTTTTTCAGTTTGTATTGTCTTTAATTTTGAGATTTATGCCTTCTTACTCACAGGGACTCAACGATGTCAATCACACTAATTGGAAGTAGTTTGATCACTCACGAAGCAATTTTGTAAAGTCTTGTGAGTAGCTGAGACATGTTTTTACTGAATTTTAGAATCTGTGATTTTTTATTTATTAATTTATTTATTTTTTCTTCAAATTTGGATTTTAGTACAATTCTTTCAGATTTTCTATACATGTGATCCTGCTAAATATTTGCCAAATGTATAATGTTAAAATTCTAAGAAATTCACCTTGAATTAAACTGTAGAGGATCTCCAGGTTGAAGCTTATTTAATTTAAAAATGTTGTTAATGTTCTTTATGTTCTTATTGCAAAATGAAGGTGCATTGAATAAGTGATCTTAGGGCATTTCCAACCCACTTCTATTTTAGAGGTGAAAATAGAGATTATGTTCAAACCCACTTCTATTTTCACCTTTAAAATAGAAATTGCTATTTTTTCCTCCAAATATAGATGGACTCTATTTTTTTCCTCTATAATAGAGGTGAACTTTTTTATTTCTAAAGTAATTCTTTAACTTTTAAATATTTCTATTTATGCAAAAAATATATTTTTTATGAATATAAATATGATAATTTTGGTTATAGTTAAAAAAAACATATGATATTATTAAATATAAAAATTCTCATTGAAATTAAAATATAAAAATTAATTGCAAAATAAAAATACATAAAAATAAACGAAAAAATAACAGCAATTTTTCTTTTTAATTTATGAATTTTAACTTCTAGTATTATTATAATATGTTGAAACTTTCATAAAAAAGTAACATAAGTGAGATTAATTTGAAAATTTTAGTAGTCAAAGGTTATTATTACTATAATTTATGAAAACTTTTATAAAAAGTAAAATAAAAGATTAATTCACAAATTTTATTTATCAAAGTTAGTATTATTATAAGTTATGTAAGTTTTTGTAAAAAAAATAAATGGGGTCAATTCATAAATTTTATTTATAAAAGGTGTTAAAGAACAAATAACAAAAAGAATATAATAAGAATATTTCTTTTTAGAGGGAAAAATAGAGGTAACCATTAGAGACAAATGCACATCTATTTTAGAGTTCCTCTATTTTAGAGGAAAAAATAGAGGCAACCATTGGAGATAGTCTTAGCTCTTTTGATCAAATCAAGTAACTGTTTTGGTCAAAAAAAAAAATCCAGTAACTGTTGGAATACTCATCATATCATCGAACTCGAGAAAGTTAAAAACAATAAAATGGGTTCGTCAGGTTCAAACTGAAGACTTTTAATGTGTTAGACTGACGTGATAACCAATAACAACTACACAGTACGTAACCTTTTTATTTCTTGAACCAAGTATTGGTGATCCGATTTGTCCTTCGACTTTTTTTTTCGAATTAAAGAGCTTACCATACATTTTTCTTTGTTCTGCATTAAAGCACCGATTCTTAAACAGATTTGATCACCTTACATGATTCAGAAGTAATTATATTACCTCTAGAAGTTACATGATTCAGAAGTAATTATATTACCTTTATAAGTTAAATGATTCAAAATCCTGCAGGCTGCAACTTTATTTCACATAGTGGAAACTGTAAAAAAGGTTTTTTTTTTTTTAATTTTATAAAACACATGAAAAACAAAGTATTGGCTTCGCTTGGGTTCGAACCGGAGACCTTCAGTGTGTTAGACTGACGTGATAATCAAGAACCCATTTTGTATTTTCATGTTATTTTGCTCTCTATTTATTTCATTTATTTTACTGTATTTCTTTTATTTCATATTTTCATTTTAATCAAGTTCTAAGAGGCTTGTGAATACGCCTTCTGTCTGATTTTTTATTTATTTTTCTTACAAACCCATTAATTAGTCAAAACCAAAATGATCTAAATCAAAAGTATCAAATAACTTTAGAGTAAACCAAAGAGTGAATACCATAGAGATTTTCATTTCCCCCATATTGAAAAAGTCTCTCTCCTGCGGCGATTTTCCAAGCGATTTCCAGCTCTTTTTTTGTGCTTGTCTTTTCGCCGGTCCTCCACCGGCTGATGCTATTTTCTCATGCTCCGGAAGAAGAAAAAGCGTGACCGGCCGAAGGTCGTCAGCACCTCAAAGTTTGCCCGAGTCGCATCCATCGCGTCTATTGCAGCGGCGGTAAAGAAAACGCAAGCCCGGCTTGAAGCGGAGACCTCCGTTGAGCTTTCTCTGACCGCTGATGGTGAGACGGACCCTCTGCTCACAGAGGTATCAACAGATCTGGTCCCAGATCCCTCATTGGGAACGGTGGCGGCTCCAGATCTGAGCCCGATTGTAGATTCAACGCCGGCGACTCAAATGAGCTCGCTTCCGATTCAGGGGACTGTTGAAGGTTCATCCTCCAGCACCGTGACTCCTCCGTCGATTCCCGATGCTCCGCCGCCTGCTTTGCCAAGCATGACAAAAAAAAATACGTATTCGAGTCTCCTACAAGATCCTCGTCGTCTTGAAGCGATAGGATCTCCGTCTCAGCACGAATTGGGAGTTCCCTTTGTGTTCATCCCGGATGACAATATTGCCGCCGCGAAGGAGGAGTTCAAGGAGTTTATTTTCGCCCGATTTCATGGCGAGTATCCGAGTATGGAAAGGGTGATTGGCGTTGTGAATGCCATTTGGGCTCGGCCTGGTCCGTGCATCATCGTTCATAATTTGGGTGAGGGGACTTTCCTTCTTCGTGTCTCTAGCCCGAAAATCACGTCTCACATTCTCAGTAGAAATCTCTGGAGTATTGCGGGTTTCCCCATGTTTGTTGCCCCTTGGTCTCCGAATTTCAATCCAGACGAACCTCCTCTTACATCGGCTGTTGTTCCGGTGGAGTTTCGTGAAGTGCCGTATCTCCTCTTCAACAAAGTGAGTCTAAGCAGAATTGCCACGGCGGTTGGAACACCTGTAGCTCTATCTCCCGAAACCGAGAGAAAGGAAACTTTTGAGGTCGCAAAGGTCTATGTCAGAGTTAATCTGCTGCAAGAGTTGCCAACACGAATTGTTTCTGGTTTCTCAAATAGCAGGGAG